GAACCCATTTTACTAGACAACCCAGTACAATTTCAGTAAGAAGTGGGAGTCATAGCCCTCTTGACAGTAAAACCTAAATGTGGAGTGTGGACTCAGTCTATACATTAAGCAAATTTCCCTTTGTAGGGATGTTGCCAAAAAATGACCCAAGTCCACGAAGGTAAGACGGGGCACTCAAGCAAGCCCACACTATACTACAGGCCGGAATGCTTGAGCTGTGACGTCACAAAAGAAGCCGGGCCGCTGCCTATCTTACCTGCCTACCTAACAAAACACACCCTCATTAGTAAACGGTATGATTTTACTTAACATTATCCTTCTTTCTGACTGTACAGCAAGATAAATAATGTGTTCACAATTAATTATCAGTTTGTCCAACAAGCAATGAACTTTTGTAAGAAATTTCGGCATAATGGCAATTTTATCTACATCTTAAAAGCCATACGGGGGATTGTCCCCAATGGGTGCATCCAACAAACCAAATGTGAGGAGAATTTTAATAATTTTTAAAAATTTTTAATTTTTTTCAATGTTGGTGAATCTTGCCAGACGTCATTTTTATAATCCTGTCTTACTTAGTAAAAACCAAAGTTTTATCCCATAACACTATTTTGGATATAATTAGATTTTTAGAAGCTAGCCTCCGGATTACGTTGAATATATTAAATTGGTGTAAATACCTGCTTTGTGGTAATCCTATTGTTGCTAGTGTCGCAACTAGTTTCGACTTTCTACTCATCTTCAGGTCCGTGTTCGTGTTCGTGTTTTTATGTACTTTATGTGTAATGACGACCTTCATATCCACCCTTTGACATCCTTGACGCCTTCGCCTGAAGATGACTTTGTAATCCTTACAAGGATGTCCAGGTATTTACATCAATTTAAGATATAATTAGGTTGCTTAATATTCTACGTCTATATTGAACATAGCCAACGATATCATATGATGAAAGACACTGGAAATGCTGAACTGATATATACAACAGTAGTCACAATACACATAAACAGTGTCCAATAGACAAGTGCTGATGTGCTCATGTCACTACATATGCGCCACTGCGACGCAACAACTGTCTGGTTCAGTGGCAGTAGATGGCACGGTTCTCTCCTGTTGCCAGAACCATGTATTGTGAAAGCTTTCATGCTATAATAATAATAATAATCACTTTATTGCTTTTTGACAATTATACATTGTATAGCAAACGTCAGTCAATACAAAAAATGCAACAAATAAGATAAAATATAATATGTAGCTGTGTAAACTAAGGTCGGAAATTGGGTAGGTAATTATTTATAAAATCTATATATATATACTATGTAAAAACAGTAAATGAATAAACTATTAATTTAATAACAATAAATAAACTCTTATCAAAAGAAATAACAGTAATTATTTTAATAAACATTGACTAAAATCTAACTAAACCCCTGGGGAAGAAAATTTTGTAATCAATTCAACTCCAACGGTATTTAGTGAACTCATCCACCCCGTAGAACACAAGATTCGTCAACTCTCTCTTCAGTCTTGTTTTGAACAAATGAGAACTCTCCAGGCTTTTTAGTCTCTCAGGAAGAGCGTTAAGGAACCCGACACCTACTTGAGAAGGGAGTTTCGCAAAAGCAGCTGTGCGGTGTTGGACAGTACGTGCGAAAATCGTCCCTTGCTCTAGTTCCATAGCTGTGAATAGCATTGCCTTGAATTGCTTGAATTGGTAAGTGTTGGAAACGGCAATAAACCACAGTCTCCAAAATATAAAGGGAAGGTAGGGTCAAGATTCCAAGCTCCCTGAAAGCAAGCCTACACGTCTCTCTTTCATGTTGACTTAAATTTGCAATTAGTCTGATGGCTCTTTTCTGGTCCCTTTCAAAATCTCGATTGGAACAACCACCCCATAACCTAATTCCATAGGTAAGGTGGGGGTGAACAAGGCCATAATAGGCCATGATTAGAACTTGTTTTGTGCAGGTCTGTTTGAGATTCCTTAAGGCAAAAATACCTTTTGTGATTTTGGAGCAGAGGCTATCAATGTGATCTTGCCAGTTCAGCTCCTTATCCAGGTGCATCCCTAAGAACTTGATAGAATCAACCTCCTCTAGAGAGGTGTCATCTACCATTACTGTGGTTGTAGACTCGTCGTCACGGTGACGAAGTGCAAGATGAATGTAACATGTTTTTGATTTGTTCGTGCTTAAATTTTCGGATTGGAATTTTTGAATGCAGGCGTTCAAGTTGATGAAGCTTTCAATTTCAAGGGTTTCTTGGGATTTTGATTCAAAATAGAGAGTCGTGTCATCTGCATACTGTATGATCTTCCCACTGTTCATTGAGGAGTGGATGTCATTGACATAAATCAGGAACAAAACTGGACCAAGGATTGATCCCTGCGGGACACCTTGGTAGACCCTTGAAGTCATGCTCTCCTTAACACTTGTACAACAATTTGCCCATAAGGTTTTTAACCGAACGGCTAAAACCATATAGAGTAGGCTATTGTGAAAGGAGCATTATTGTGCCCAAAATTGTAACTTGACAATCTTCTGGCACCGTATTGGAGACTTAGATATAATTTCCTCAATAGTGCAGTAATATATTAGCATTTTAGGTCATTATTTGCAAGTTGTGAATGTTTTTAGCATTGTGTTAAGGAGCATGAGCTTATATGAAAACTTGTAATATTTAACAACAGACCCTTGAATGCTGTCACCTGGGTGCTTTAAAGGGTAATTTTTAAGGTGATATAAATTCAATACAGGAAAATGAAAACAATAATTGTATTTTACAAACACTTCTATATTTAACAAGTTAATTACAGCATGACCCAATTTACAAAACTATAGGTACTTCAAAAATAGACTTCCAGTCAAATCAACAAGGCTGTTTTGATAAATAACTATTACAAGATCATGAATAAAGATAAATCAATAATAAAGTCTTATAAACATATGGCACGTTTTTAATAATTATAAGTTTTTAAATTGTTTAAAGGAATACTTAATAACGGAAAGGGTGATTTCAAAAGATTAAGGCTTGAATGTTTCAATTGGATTGAGCAAGTTATTGACATTTTTCTTCTTTTCTCTATGCCTACAAGAAACACCTCACCAACTAAATACAATACTAAATAATTTACAGAATTTCATTATTCACATAAATTTTTTGCCTTTGGTAACTCTTTTGTTCTTTGTCATAAGGCTGTTTTTTAGTTATAATACTTTATACGCAACTTATGACTTTTAACACAGCAAAATGTATAGCTGAGAAACTAGTTTTTTAACCAATATATCTTGTTTACTTGTGGAACTTTACAACTAGGAGTTTGTTTTAAAAAAATAGAAGGAAGGATAGAATGGGTAATTATCTATAACAAGTCTGTTGTGAGTTGTGCCTCTTAGTTACTTGGTTTGGATGCAATATTTCAACACATATACAGTTTAACCCTTCCACTTCTATATGATTGTTTTTTTTTTTTTTTCGAATCGATCAATTATCAATTATTAGTTGAGATGGGTATTTAACCTAGGTGTGTATTTTAACCCGAGGATGAGTGTAGAATGTTGTGAGATGATCCCTGTAACTTTGTTACTAAGATAAGCTGTTTATTTAAGTTACTTCTTCAATAATGACCATGTTTAAAAGCAAAACTAACTCTTGACTAGAAGTATTTTGTCATAGATGACTGATATTTCTTAGTCTTCAATAGTTGGGCATAATAGTTTTGTTTGTTAAAAAAATTATTAAAAGAGTTCTTTGGGACGACGGTTTAACCGGAAAACCCGTTATCCGGACTGGTTTCGGTCCCGAGGAGTCCGGATAAGAGGGAGTCTACTGTAGTTGGATTTGTTTTGTGCTGATAGACAGTGTATAGCTTATTCTTTATATTTTTACATAATTATTTCATAACAAAGAAGTATTAAAGACACAATACTGAACTAAGCTCCTTAGCAGCAGGTTGGTAATGTTGTTTATTTGGACACAATTAGGCTGGCAACTTAAATTAATAACTGGATGAATATTATTTTTTCTGTGTTAAAGTACTATGTCTTAATACGTTTCTAAGTGTAATCCATAAGTAAAGATGTGAATAGTTCTGCAATCAAAGCTCAAAATCTATATAATTAATACGCTACATGAAACTTTGTCGGTTGAACTCCTCCGCCATTTCTTAACCGATTTTATCCATTGACGTCTCATTGGAAAGAGCGTGTCGCGTAGATTTGCAAACTGGCCTTACTTTTTTGAAAAAGTCCCTTGGGCTTTGCCCCAGTGGCTGTTAAAGTTCCCATGTTATCCTTATGAAGAACATAATTGTTTACATTTTGATCAGCTGTATAGTTCAATTGCTGTTATTTATTTTTCAATCCTATGAAACGCATTGAGTACATTTATTTACTATTTGAGTTTGTGTAAACATAACCCCCAAGACGGATCGTGTTAGTATGGTTGTATCTTAAATTTGTGTATTTATCGTTGTTTTGTGTCGCTATGACGGATCGTGTTAGCATGATTATTACTCAAATTTGTGCATTTATCGTTGTTTTGTGTAGCTATAATTTGTTTATTTGTTGTTTTTTTTCTTTTAAATGCCTCCGACGTGACGACAACGAAACATAGACAGGAGGCGCAATCGTGATAACGACCGCAGCTACAGAACGGTGGCGCGTAATAGGCTTAAAGTCAGCACCTGACCCTGGACAATCTCAACTATTAGGTTAAAAATGCGCCGGCCCTAATACTACCCCAAAACGACTTTTCGTTTTCAATTGGCCCTCTATCAATGACCTGTGTTGCCTGTACAGCGAGGCATTTTGAGAAGGAGAAAACCGGCCGGAATGCTTTAGGTTTATCAATAACGAAGACAAACATAGTTTGAGTTACACACCGGTGATCTTTGAGTTGAATCTTTTAAACTCATTGTAAATATGACTGTTATTCTTTTTGAAATAACTCCTGTAATGCTTTAGAATTGCTCGAATTCGAGCAACATGTACACTAGTTTAGATTAAAAGTCGCTACAAGAAGCGTGGTGAATTTAGGTTTGTACTTTAAACTAAGGTTTCTGTTTTATTTAAGATTTTACTATCTCGCACAAGTATATTGTATCAGACTCAGCTCCCAAGTAATGTTTTTCGAGACTCTGCTGTGGTATGGATAATTAAAACTGTCACTCAAACTGGAAGGGTTAAACTTTATGTTTTCACAACACTAATCAACTGTCAGCTATGCCACAAATAGGAAAATATTAAGTCATTAATAAAACTAAGAAATATTTACAATATACTTTGAACATTTATATACATCATTAAACTACACTAATAAGTAACACCATATTGTTCATGATTTTTAACAAAACTGGTATTTTTATCATACAGGTTTTTTTATTAGGTTACTAGTAAAAAATCTTAAGTATTACAAATACATGTATAACTGGTTTGTCTACTTAAAACATTCAATTTCAAAATATTGGATCATGTTTGGTTAAAACACACTTATAGATAATTATGAAAAGTTGTTGGTCTTATAAACGTTTAAAACTTCTGTATTTACTAACGTATGTATTTTATATCAAATACTTTTTGGATTTAAGGGTACATTAATATTGCCGGATTTAAGGTACTTGCAGCCCTAGGTCAAATTAAATCAAACGGCCCCTGCCCCTTAGGCGGAACTTACCCGTGATCACGGGGACATTATCATCACCAATCTTGATCGCAACCAAATAAAACTCCCGTGATTGCAAAATCCTCAACAACTCGGGGGGAATCATCATCGTAACCCGCAAGCAAAAATTAATTATTTTAGAAATAGATTAGAAATTAAGGAAAAGCCAATTGGCTGTTTAGCAGTATTATGTACAGGGATAGGAATCAGCTAGCTTACCTGGTAGATGGAGTTAAGATGTAAGTACAGATGGACTCTGCCCACCAGGTTAGCAGGCTGATTCCTATCACTACGTTACTTAATCCATTTTTAATATCTACCATTTGAAAATAACATTCAAGTAAAACCTCAATTAACTGTCAAGTCTGTCATCTGTATATCCAACTACAATCTCCCTAAGAACCACTTCACTACTCTACTTAGCCCCATTCTGTGGTATATTTATGTTTTAAATTAATTCTCTCATTACTGAGAGAATGAATGCTGATCTGATAAGGAAAAGCATCAATTTTTAACTTTTAACGCAGGCGACACTTTTGCTTTGCATTTGATTAAGATTTGCATAGTTGGAGTACCACACTTTGTTTTGTAAACTAACTAAAGCTGTTCTTACCGCTCTTTTCTTACCCCACTCCTCAACAATAATTTTGCTTTACGATTGTGCCATCATAATTTTACCTTTTAACAGGTTTCTTGTGCTAACCGTAGAATAATCAGAAACTACACATATCATATAGAAGGCTCAGCATGTACTCTGAACTATTAGTACATAAAATCACTGCTAGATGTCAGCTACTGGCTAAGTAGTAAAAATGTGTGTTTCCAAAGTGATGGCACAATCTGATTGGCATGACATTCTACTCAACCTGATCGGACCGGCATGACAAATAATGGTAAAATATGATCAATTCCTTCACAGTTCATGATTCAATATGTACTGTATCCGTTCAACTTGTTCTCTTGTTTGGCGGGGTTTCTGTATCGGTAATGGCGGTTAATAGAGGTTTCACAGCCAAATTGAAAAATATCTCTGATTATGACCAGAATAATTAAATAAGCTCTTTCTTAAATGTAAATATACATATTCAGCGTTGTACTATTTTATAAATAACAAAAACCTAAAAAGGTCAGCTGAATTATTGACAAAATATTTCATAGAAATAAAATCACACTTAAACATTAAAATACTAAATAATACACAAAAAACTTTCAGCAAAACTTTTGATTTGTTAAAGGCATATTTTATTACAAATTTACATCTATTTACATTGATCACATACACTTGAATCACTTTGTATCAGGCTATGATTATTTTGAATTGATTATTACATTTTAAGTTCTAGTTTATAAAAAAATGTTTCATACTGTACAAGATTGAGGTATTTACCTTTTTACGGTAGTTTAAAATAATAGCGATCTTTCTATAAACTGTTTTTTTTTAGAATGAGAATCTTGCTATATTATAATTTAGAGCTACAATATGAGAGGCAAAGGCCTTTGAATAGGACAAGTAGACTTCACCATACTTTTGTAAAATCTGAGGCCTGCTTTGATATGTGTTTATGTCCGTTACATTTGAACGGTTAAATTAAATGTTTATTTCTTATTCTAGAGTCCATTTTAAATATTGTGCTTTACTTTTTGGCTATAATGCTGCATGAGAAGCAGTAGTTTACAAATATATCGTCATTTTAAGTTAAAATAATGTTATGTAAAGTTGGTTGAATAACCATAAATAAATAGTAAACAACAAAACACTCTCTTATATAGGATGTAAACCCCCGGACAGAAACACCTTAAAATTGTCTTTAAAGGAGTATGTTTAGTATGATGTCAGGGAATTTTAGAAAACTTGCCTAGGGTCGCATTACTCTACCAATTTTAAACTGGCAAGCATTCTAATCTAATACCCAAATATTGGTTATGCAGAACTACTAAATGTATTAAACAATTCTAATATATGAAATAAGCACAGATCATGAATAGATATCATATTTTATGTGTTTAGGTTAAAAAATAAGAAGGCATTAGCAATTTAAAAAAAAATATTATGATTTCATCAGTTACAGAATAAAAAATTAAAAATCTATTTGACTTTTGTTAACAATTTAAATTATTTAATTGTAGTATAAATTGTTTATTCGTCAAGAAATCTGAAGTATGACTCTTACAACAGGGTGTTTTCTGGCAAAACTCTGAAAAATTAAACCAGAATATTATGGCAAGAATGGCAGTATGTTTCTGTAATTTTCCCTGATATTTTAATATCTCCTCAAATTCTGAAATTAATTTCTTATTTTTCTGATGGTTGTAAATTAATTGAGATGGGGACACTATTTAGGTGTATATTTATGAGTGAAGAAAAAGTGTAGAATGGATTGAGATGATCTTTGTAGCTTTGCTACTGACTAAGATCAGCCGTTTCAGTTTCAGCATACAATAGCATTTATCAATTTACAAATTAGTAAAGCTCACAGTTAGACGAGATCCTTGTTGTGAAAAAGTTTAATAATAAATGGTTTTCTCTATATTGGTGTAAAATAAGGTATCCATAAACTATCCATGTAAATGTTATTTAAGAAGTTCTGTCATAAGATCTAAGTTTGTATAAAATTATAATAATAATAAGACCTTAGCTGTATAGATTCAAGATTTTAAAAGGACATTGAAATGCCAGTTGAATCTGACACAATAGTGTCCACTATTGCCAAAAATCAGAAAAACAAAATATATAGCAATTGCACAGTTAAATAAAAAGTAAACAAATGTTTGGATTTCTACACCCTCAGTTCTGGCTGGACTGGTAGCACAGGTCAGTCACGACGGACGACAAGGATGTAATTTTTTTACACTTAAACAAGAAGTTGGCCGCCTCCACGAAGGTTTGCTTGATTTTTGTTGTTCAATTTCAGTCCCTCCGTTTGCTCCACTCCCGTTTCCCATGTTCTCTAAGTTGCCGTTGCTCCCATAGTCAACACACTTTTGGCTTTCTGAAAAAAAAATAAAAAACTCATTAAAACGACAACATTTCTATCCTTATACTACTTATCTTGAACTATCCTTCAATTATCTAATATTTTAGATTATTACACAACTCTAAGAACAAATTTAGAACTGTTCAATCTCTTAAATCTATATTTATAAAAGAGGAAGTTTGTATATATATATAGTAGAGTCCCGCAAACTCGGCACTCGAAAACCCGGCAGTCTGGATAATTCGGCCATCACCTAGCTCAGAAAATTTGTGATTTTTTAATCCGAGTTCAACATGGACTCAAGCCAGCTTAAGTCAAATCATCCGCAACTTGTACCAAGGATTTGTTCTACTATATCTGATGACTTAACCTTAGTAATATAAATATAAATAGAGAAGGCAGGTAAAAGACTTAAACATTTTATTGTTTTTATTTTTAACCCTAGTTCACGATAACCCGGCATTTCACAAACTCTGCACCCTTCCGGTGCACATTACGCCGAGTTTGCGGGACCCTACTGTATATATATTTGAACGTTATGGAATACGAAACCGCTCGACAGATTGTAATGAAACTTTCAGGCATTAAAGCATTATTCAAGGATGGTTTGTGTGAAGTTTAGTGCAGATCCGTCAAAAGGGCTCTGCCCCAGTGGCTCTGGAGTTTCCCATGTTAACCTTATGAGTACTCATATTTAAATGGAATTAAGGAATCTTAACAGCTGTTGTCCCGGGGTCACTGAAACGTCATCGTTGTTGTCGATCGCGGCAAAATTATGAACATTTCCTGTGGCCGTGTAACATCCCGCAGTCACGGAAACATCATCGTCATCATCAGTGCTGATGAAAATCATGAAAATTCCCGACTTTGATTTAAAATTTAAATTCAAATAATCTTCATTTGTTAGTAGTATATAATTTATTCATACATAAATAGTGTCAAATACAGGTATTGAAAAATTAAAAACAAATGTTTTTTAGAATTAACAATGCAAAAATTGACATTACTTCCTACAACTCATCGAAAGAATAAATAGCTTTGTTGATGAGTACTGCTTCAATTTAATTTTGATTTTTTTTTTTGACACCACATCTGCTATGTTTTTTGAAAATTTTGCTATAAAATTTTGAACCAGGTTAGGTTTCTTTTTTAAAAGTTCCAGAGCGTGAGAGCTCATTGTGACACAGCCCCGATTTCTGGTGTTATATTCATGATTGTTACCGATTAGCTCCGATTCCTGAAATCTATTTTTATGGATTAAACTGTTTCAAAAACATACATTCCATAAACAGTCATGATGTTTTCTAATTTAAAATAATCTTAAACTGAAGTTCTGGGTTGTAAATTACGAATAATTCTAATGGTTTTTTTTTTGCATTATCAAAATAGAGTTTAAGTTTTCTTTAGTAGTTACGCCATACAGAGATAGCCCAAATGATATCACTGAGTGGATGTAAGAGAAATAAACAACTTTCAGAGATTCTTTTTCACAACAATTTTTCAACCTAACCAATACGTATAGGCCAGAAGAAATTTTAGTGAATAATTGTTCAACATGACGGTTCCATTTAAGTGTACTTTCTATTTCTAAGCCTAAAAGTTTTATGCTGTCTTTGAATTAATTTTTTTTTTTATCAAATATGGTAACATTAGTTTGAGTTATATTTTGAGCTGATCAAGTTTTAAAACAAATAATATTAGTTTTCAGGATTTAAGAGCAAATTGTTGGCATTAAACAAATTTTTTAAGAGAGTTAGGTCGGAATTAATTTTAATTTCTAATCCAGCAACAGTTGATGCAGTAATTTTCAAATTGGTGTCATCAGCATACAGACAAAGTTTACTGAAATCAGAAAGCTGAAAGCAAAATAAAGACTGAATCCCGACCTCTCAAGACCATTTTGAAATTCAATACTAAATCCTAACTTTCCCATCTACTAGACATCCTGTATGGTAAGACCTAGACCTTGGACCACTTTGCTATCTTGTTTTTATATCACCAAAGCTCAAAAAACACCATCCCTTTGATGAGTCTGTAATGACAACACGAGTAATAATCATCTGATCTTGATAAAATTCAGTAAAAAAGTGTAAACCTAAATTTTTTTGAATGACTTTAGGAACCAGGATGATTGGACTATGGGAACAGGGTTTAGTGGTAGGCCTACAATTATAAATTGTCCAAAACATAACATTTTGCAATTTATTCTACACTATTTTGAAGAGCTCAACAAAATACAAATAATTTTGTGTATTGAAGCATCAGGGTACGTCTAACGGTTACAGAAAAAACAAAATTAAAAATATCTAAGTTAATCTCATGGAGAATAAGTAAAATTGTGTAGTTTACTTATTTATGGATATATTTTGATCAAAACTTGGTAAATTTATTATTTCATACCAAGCTATTATCATTTTAATAAAACAGACACTTGATGGCATTCTTTGTGGCAGCAAAACTCACTAAACCTAATGTTATTTATATGGGAAATAAATCTAACATGTTTAAGGGAATATTTCAGAGGAAATCCAATCAGGCAAATGGAAATTCACTTAGTCAGCAGATTGGCTTCAGGGATATATTACGTAAAAGATTTTCCATTAAATTGTTTTCCTACGCTAATTCATATTTAAAAAACTTAAAGGGTTATAACCAGCCCGTATAAATGAGTTGTCTTTTCATTCTTTATATAAGCTTTAAATTAAATTAGATAACCCGTTGCTCGAAATCAAGCAAAACTGCTACTTGTAATAGGAGAATATAGACCAAAAACATAAACAGCAAGAGCTCAATCAAAAGTAACTCTAAAGTAATTTCTAATCGTTTAAATACCTGTCATTTAATAAATAAGTATATAGAACACGAAAACGCACATTGATAGACGAACATTTAACAATAAATAGATGGAGTACTCGGGGACACAAGACAGGTGACGCGACCTGGTGGAAGTTGTAGCTCGAACTGGTGGTCAGTGGTCAACTGGTATGACGTCAGCCATTGTCTCCTTATCACTGCCGGCTTGCATTCATTCCTTCTCTCCTCCTCCCCCATCCAGAATTTTGATTGTGTTTATTTTACAGTTTCATTTAAAACTACAAACAAGCTCGGATCCTTATTGAAAGAACGGCAACAAACAGATTCCACTGTTTATGACAAGTCTGGGGTTTACAAATTAAATTGTAGCGATTGCCCAAAATATTATATCGGACAGACTTCACGCTCTTTCATGAAGAGGTTCAGAGAACATATCCCCAAGAAAACTACAGGCCCCCAAACCTCAAATTTCGCTGAGCATCTAATTACACTTAACCACAACTATGTAAACGTAAATAAAGTGCATGTACGTAACATGGACGTTTTACATCTCTTCCAAGACCGATCAAACATTAACACTTATGAAAAATTTGAAATATACAAGGCAGTCAAAACAGATGGTCAAAATGTTTTAAATGACAAACTCTCATTCCAATCAAATTCTTTTTATAACAACGCAATCAAAATACTGGATGGGGGAGGAGGAGAGAAGGAATGAATGCGAGCCGGCTGGCTGACGTCATACCAGTTGACCACTGACCACCAGTTCGAGCTACAACTTCCACCCGGTCGCGTCACCTGTCTTGTGTCCCCGAGTACTCGGTCTTTTTAATGTTATGTTCGTCTATCAATGTGCGTTTTCGAGTGTGTTCGTGTTCTATGTACTTATTTATTAAATGACGACCTTCATATACGGAGGTGAATAACGACGTCTTGTACGGCCTGAAGGAATATTCCCTGTGAATCGAAACTATAGTTGCCACAAGCAGCATTTTGGATTACTGAATGCAGGTATTTAAACCATTATAAATAATTAAACGTAATCTGGAGGCTAACAACTCTTGAAAATGAAATTGTACATATTATGTTAAAAAATTAAATTATATAAGTAATCTACAATATTGAAATATAGATCCGATCTCATACTGCTTTGGTTATCTCTTATGTACAGTAGTCGGGTGCACTCTATGAGCAAGTAGGATGACAACCACACACTGTAAAGTGAGCTTCTCAGACCTAATGTAGTAAGCTAAATACATCTCTTGACGCCAACCATTACGACACGTTCTATAGCATTGTTAAATTATTTCTACAATATGTTCTGTTTTATGCATGTTTAAATTAGAGGCCCCAACCAAAGTCTCTGGTTGGGAACATGAGAGGGCAAGCAAGTGTATTTAACGACGGATCTAGAATGAATACGCATTTACCATTATGAGTAAAAAAAAACAAAAAAAACTATGATTTATTTGGCCAGTGCTCTGCTTCTAGCTTTAAAAATAGCTGTGAAATCTAACAGGTAGCATCATTGTAGCTAGGTAAGTCACTTCTTTTGTCTCTTATTATGTACACAAGAATCTCACTTGGCTTCTCGGAGCTAGTCCCTACAAATTTCTGCCACAGTCTTAAGATTGATGACCCTATTTCCTGCATATTTTTTTTTTTCATTATGTTGATGCTCTGTTAGGTTTCAGGGCCAGCGTCGTACTATCTGTGGGTATTCAGGATCATGACCTTCTTGAGGAATTAGAGGACCTACTCGATGGCAAAACTTGTCATGAACATTGAAATTGTAGATCCTCTCATCTAAATGAGCTTGAGAGCTGACCATGGCAAAGGCGGAATTGAATCGATGAATTGTATTCAAATAATTTAGTGATCTAAATCCCACATCCCTGTTTTCGGATTACGAGTTTCCAAATAAGTTCCTGAAAGTATGGTGAATTCAAAAAAAAAAACGAACCTTTCATTTATGCCAACAAAGAGTAAAAATTTTACTGTCTCGGTCAGTCTTTTCATATATATATATATGTCCGTTAGCACGATAACTCGAGCAAAAATGATCCGATTTTGATGAAATTTGGTACAGACGTGTAAACCTACGTTTATTCGAACGAGTTCGCGAACCAGCATGATCGGACAATGGGAACCGGGTTTTATGGGGGGATTTATGGGGTAAAAATTGGTTTTTCTCATTTTTGACCCTCAAAACATAAAATTTCCCAAATTTCCTCTAGACCATTTTGAAGAGCTTAAAAAAACAAATAATTCAGTATATTGAAGTGTTTTTGTATGGTTATTGGTTACGGAGAAAATTGTAAATTAAAAATTCCCATGTTATTCTTATGGAGAATAAGTAAACTGTTGTAGTTTGCTTGTTTATGCAAATATTTGGATCAAACTTGGCCAATCTATTTATTTTATACTAAGCTATTAATATTTTACTAAAAAACACACTTTATTACCCTTTAGGCAGCAAACCTAGGTAATCGTTAAACCTAATGTCATTTGAATAGATTTAATTGAAAATCAAATCAGGCAAATGGAAATTCGCTTAGTCTGCAGGTTTGCTGCGGCGGGGGTATTTTAATGTTCTGAGACGTATTTGCACATCTACGTGAAAATACCTTTAATTTGACACCCCTAATGTTAACATCCGTAAAACCGTTATCGAGTTATGACTGTGAAAAGAAACCTGCTTGCGTATTAATATATAGATTTTAAATCCTTTACTATAAATTAAAACATACAAACCATTTAGTTCTCTTTCAGTGTAGTACTCTGAGGAATATTGGCTCTCATCGTCCCCGTAGTAGTAATTGATGAGATATGGCAGCACTGTCATACGGTGGAGATCGTCTCCTCGTAGTGGCGGCACTGACACTTCCTCTTGTGTGCGACCAGGTTTCCGTATGAACCAACTAAAGATGTATATTATTATTATTATTATTATTGGGGGTGTGCAGGTACGCAAATGGTTGAGTATTTTCAAGTGAATATTTCCATACACAGCTGGACTTAACTGTTGTAATGAGTACACTGTTATCTATACAGTGTGGTAGAAAAGTCCCGGAACGGTTAGATATTTTAAAAAATAATGCAGATAGAGCTAAAATACTTGGTACAAAGTTACAGGGCATAAAACTCTATTTTAACACATATTCAGTGATTCAATAACTCTTTAGGGGGACGTCCCACAAGGAGTCAGAAGAAAATCTTAAATGGAAGCATAGGTCAATATGCACATCAAATTAAAAGTCTTTTTTAGTAGAATACAATGCCGCAAACCGCACTTCAAAAGATTGATCCTGCGCAAAATGACAGTTGTTCAAAGATTCATTTAATTTACATTGCTATTATACACTTTCTCCTCAGGGGGCAGAGCCCTAGGAATCGGAAGAAAATTGTTAACGTAAGAATAGGTCGATATGCACATCAAATTAAAGGTCTTCACTTTTAGATTACGATGCCGTAAATTCAAGCTCAAAAGAATGCCTGAGTAAAAAATGGCAGTCGTTCAAAGATTCAAAATGGCGGATTCAAGAAATCTTTGAACATCTGCCATTTTGCGCAGGATCAACCTTTTGAAGTGCAGTTTGCGGCATTGTATTCTACTAAAAAAGACCTTTAATTTGATGTGCATATTGACCGATGCTTCTATTTCAGATTTTCTTCCGACTCCTTGTGGGCCGTCCCCCTGAAGAATTATTGGATCACTGAATATGTGTTAAAATAGATTTTTATGCCCTGTAACTTTGTACCAAGTATTTTAGCTCTATCTGCATTATTTTTTAAAATATTTAACCGTTCCGGGAATTTTCTACCACACTGTATATAAAATAGACAAGCACGATTTATGTCGGCAGAACTCCTCAATGGTTTCTCATCCTATTATTTTTAGTTTATGGCTCATTAGAAATATCTCATTTATTAGATGTACTATAAGGTCTTACAACTTTATGTGGCTGTGGGTGAGTCAAAAAACCTATGTAGAAAACACTAAAAATAAAGTCAGCTTCTGAAAAATCATAAAACATTTGATTATATCGAACTGTTATGAACAGCGTGATTATTTCCATTAGTTACATAAGCTTTTAGTTGAGTTTTTATAAACTCATCGAAAATTGTGACTGTTATTAGTTTTTAAATAAATCCTGGTAATACAGGTACTCGACAATTGCTTGATTTCAAGCAACAGGTACACTAGTCATTTATAATTATACTGTATGGCAAAATCAAAGCAAGATTCTTACTATAACAAACAACAAGTTATTTTACACTCTTTGTTATACTGCAAGGGCAAGGCTTAGATTAGATTACAACGATAGCTTCATAGACCTTTAAAATTCATATTTTTTGCCCCTGAGTTGATCCTGTGACTAAATCAATAATAATTCATCATATCAATAATCAGTTACCTTCATCAATTAGCTCCTAGTAGTGTAACAAATGTTACGGTCATTTCATTATCTCTGTGCCATAATCAGATGTTCAGCCATAAGGCGTCGTTAATACACAAAAACATAAACTGTCACACGCAACACACACATACACTAACGGGTTTTTTTTAAGAAACAGGCCTGTTCTACACACATATCCACACTCGAGCAAGTAGCTGACTGGAATCATTCTTGCGCTGTCGAGTCGGCGGCGGCGTTATTATCTGCACTTTGCCCCCTTGGTCTTGAATCTTTCCTCTGATATAAAATCTATATTATTAATAAGCTACATGAAACTTTGTAAACAGTAAGCCTTTATTATTTTAAGATTTAACCCCACATATTATATACCAAAATGGCTCTGCCCCAGTGGTTTTAGCGAATTTCCCTATAGGGAAGTAGCTATTACCGTAGGTCTCATGGTAAGACCTAAGCCCGGGACCGATTTACTTTTTCATTTTGATGTCCCCAGAGGCCAAAAACACCATTCGTTCAAATTTTTATATATCTATATATAGATATATATATATATATATATATGTGTCCATCCGCACGATAACTTGAGTAATTTTTGTCCGATTTTGATAAAATTTGGTTTGAAGGTGTAAGGCGGGATAAACTTGAATGAGTTCGCGAACCAGCATGATCGGACTATGAGAACGGGGGTTTATGGGGGGTTTTATGGGGTAAAAATAGGTTTTTTCCCATTTTTGACTCTAAAAACACAAAATTTCACAATTTCTTTTTAAACCATTTTGTAGAGCTTAAAAAAACAAATAATTTAGTATGTTGAAGCGTTATTATGCGCCTAATTGTTACGGAGAAAATTCAAAAAAATTGTAATTTTAAAATTCCCATGTTATTCTTATGGAAAATAAGTCAACTGTTGTAGTTTGCTTGTTTATGAACATACTAGCTGTAACCCGCGGGCTTTGCCCTGTTTAACTTCTTAATTTTCAAGATTATCTCGTTCGCATGGCTCAATCACGTCCTGGTTGAAGTTTGTTCGCTACGCTCACTCACCTTTAGGTTGGAGCTCGCCAAATTTCAGCCCAATCCGACCAGTATTTTTCGCGTTCACTTGTCACAAACATACATCCATAGCCTACATCCATACATCCATACATCCATCCATACATCCATCCATACAATCAAAACTTTCTCATTTATAATATTAGTAGGATTTTGATAGATTTTGGAAAATACTTTTATTTCTTACTAAGCTATTATCATTTTATAAAAAAAAAATCTTTTTTACCCTCCCTGTTGCAGCAAACCTAAGTACTTCTTAAACTAATTCTTTTTTAAATAGGAAATAAATGTGCTATTTTTATGGAGGCATTTTATTGTAAATCCAATCAGGTTAATGGAAATTCGCTTAGTCTGCAGGTTTGCTGCGGCAGGGGTTTTTAAAGTTTCTACCATGTTATCCTAATGAAAAACATATTTGTTTTCATTATGATCAGCTGGATAATTTAATTACTGTTATTATTTTAGTTGCAATTTAAGGAAACGTGTGCTACAAACATTTACTACTGACTTGGTTGAAATGAAACATTTACTAGGCTATTTGAATTTGGGTACAATGGAAAAAAGCGAGAAAGCCTGGGCAATTTGATATACTGAAAAGAAAACTGAACCAACACTGTGCTGCATTTCTTGAGCAATCATTGAAAGAGCCAATTTGCAAACTTTGGAAACATAGGAAAGTCATAGAACACCACCAAGTAGAAGAAATAGAAATAGTGTTTTTTTGTTGTTTTTTTTTCATTTATAATTGTTATTATGGACAGCCTAATGCAGCTATGAGTAGAATGAACATTTGTAGAAAACAATAAAAAACAAGATCAGCTTTTGAATAATGATAAAATATTTACAAGAAATGTTTAACTGTTATGTACATCGTGAGTATTTCCATAATCTTTGAGTCGACTCTTTTAAAATCAAATCATCGGAAATTATGACTGTTATTCGTTTAAAAATATTGCCTGTAATACTTTGCAGTTGCTTGGATTCGATCAACAGGTACACTAGTACTATAAATCTACAACAGGATATGTGTGTAGAAGAGGCCCGTTTCTTTAAAAGAAAACCCGTTTATGTTGTGTTTGACAGTTTATATTTTTGTGTATTAACAAAGCCGTATGGCTGAACGTCTGATGATGGCACAGAGATGCTGAAACAGACGTAACAATTGTTACACTACTAGGAGCTGATTGACAAAGGTAACTTTAGTTCTGATTTAGTTCCTAGATATGACGAATACATTACGGAAGCATTATCTTAAAAAAAGGTTAGGACATGTCATCATCAAAATTGGAGTATCAATGTACACTGTTTTACTTTTAAAATCAAAACTAAAAAAAAAAAAACTAAATGCAGTTATTCCCCACTACTAGGGTTTTTTTTTAATAAACCCTCTAGTAGTTATTGAATGAAGGCTGTATATACATTTATCAAATAGACAGTCTTCAATGTTTTTGTTACTCTTATCAATGAACTCAAATAATCTGGGACTCCAGAACCATTAATACTGTTTGGGACTACTGACAGTGCAGATAAGATGCATATAAACCAAATGTTTCTATTAAAGATAAGTGCTATACTGAAAATCATAGTAAATTTAAGCAAACAATTTCTTAACTGTGTTTGTGTAAAAAATCATGTTTTAACAATTTTTTTGCAAACTATTGCTTTTTGCACTGTGGATACAGTTATTTACGGACAATTAAGCAGCGTAAAAACAAACCTTAGGCTGGCATTGTTTCTGACTAGAATAAATAATGGGCAATTTTGAGCAATCAGTATATACTAGTTAACACAGCCTCTAGTTGAAAATTTGGATCAAGTCACTAGATGGAAATGATCCCTTACATTCCAGTTGTATGGCATTGTGAATCCCAAACACAAGTTACACACAATCAAAGCACAATATACCAAAGCCTACTAATGACACAATACACACAAACAACATTATCTGAGTTTAAGTTTTACAGGTTAGGTTTGCAACTCACGAATGCATATTATGTGCAACCTAGTTCACAACTCCTTTAAGATAAATTGTCCCTGATGTGATCAGATCATAGAACTACTAAGACAATGAAAATATACTGAAATTGTAAAGCTGAGTAAAACGATATCCTTCCTTGCATGATCATAATCATCTGCAAAAGCATTTTGGTGGACACTTGAGTATTTTTATGTTTATGTTGTGCAAGTTACAAAAATAGACCACTAAATAACACATTACTAGACTAAAAAGTTACTTACGGATGATGTCTTATCTGATGTAAGGTGAATCTCATTTGTGGCTCCTTTTCCAACATTCCTTGCAGTAAACTTGCAAGAGGCTCTTCAACCTAGAAAAAAATGCATTAGATAAACACTAGACCTATTGTGCTTTGTGCTTTTTAACTATAAATAAATTTAGATTGAAAATCAAAGTTATGTGTTAACAAATATTTAAGATACCGGTACCTTGATTTATTTTTATTTATTTTTACAGTAATCTTCGACGCCATCTTGGAAATTAGCCATTCCAGATGTCCAATTTTCCTAGACTTTTATATTTTTATTGACAAGTATCTATTAGCCTAAAGTAAAATTCGCCAAAAAATCATTTAAGTAGCAATTTTGGGGTGTTTGCATAACTTTACTCGACTATGTATGAGAAATAATATACTACGTTCATAACAACACCTGTGATGATTTTACCCTACACTGGCAAAATCCGCGATCGTCTCCATTATTTAAACACCTCCTACTATTTTAGCGAATTTCCCATATAGGGAATAAGCTATTACCGTAGGTCTCATGGTAAGACCTGGGACCGATTTACTTTTTTGTTTTGAGGACCCCAGAGGCCAAAAACACCATCCGTTCAAATTCATATATATATATATATATATATTTATATATGTGTCCGTTAGCGCGATAACTCGAACAAAATTGATCCGATTTTGATGAAATTTGGTACAAACGTGTAAACTTACATTTATTCGAACGAGTTCGCGAACCAGCATAATCGGACCATGGGATCAGGGGTTTATGGGGGGTTTTATGGGGTAAAAATGGGTTTTTCTCATTTTTGACCTTAAAAACTTTAAATTTCTAAATTTCTCTCTAGACCATTTTGAAGAGCTTAAAAAACAAATAATTTAGTATATTGAAGTGTTTTTAAATGTTTTTAAATGTTCATTGACTACGGAGAAAATTACAAAAATTGTAAATTTAAAATTCCCATGTTATTTTTATGGAAACTGTTCTAGTTTGCTTGTTTATGGATATATTTTAATCAAATTTGGCAATTTGGTTTATTTCATACTAAGCTATCAATATTTCAATTGAAAAAACACACCTCAACATCTTCCCCGTAGCAGCAAACCTAACTACTCACTAAAATTAATGTTATTTAAATAGGAAATAAATCTGAAAATTTATAGGGAATATTTTAGTAGAAATCAAGCCGGGTAAATGGAAATTCGCTTAGTATGCAGGTTTGCTGCGACAGGGGTATTTTGTGATTGGAGCCACATCTGAGATCATCTTGCAATCATGGCAAAATTCATTTCCCGTGATCGCAGCAACAGCCGTGATTAGTGATGGGCCAATTCCAGAATTTGTCGATTCCGATTTTAGAGCTTTGGTTTCAATTCTCGATTCCGCACTCGATACCAATACCTGTTATAAATTCATTTAACATACATGTATGCTTCTCTCAATCCCTATAAATAAAAGAGCATGTTATTTTTATTTAATCTTAATACAAACATAACTGCATTTCTATTAAATAAGGTTACATAGATTACATTAGCGACTTAGCGTATAACGAAAATAACATACTTCAAGAAGACATACATTTTAACATCTATAATATTAAAACGAAACAGTGTTTTTTTATTTCACGATTCTTAATCAATCACTCGACGGATTTTAATGATTTTTGTGTTGAAAGAAAGATAATTTTGAGAACTAGGGAATGTCGAAGCCATAATTTTAGTTTAGGGTCCCAGTTTTTTAGAAATTAAGTTTTAATTTTTAAAAAGTCTAGCAGCCGACGTTAAGATTCTAAACTAGCTTTTGGCATAAAATAATTTGCTTAACATAACAGCTGTAAACATTCAGCTTTTGGGTCACAAATTCAGCTTTGGATAAAAATGTAAAGACATACTTTAGGGTTGACTTATTTATACTATGTGTAATGCTAATCATTGATATGTTAAATTCTTCTGTAAGAGGAGGACAGATTAATTAAATATACATAGTAAAATACTAGGATGTTCAAATTATTTTTTAAAGCAATCTTTGTAATCTTCGATTTGTTTTAGAGCAATATAATTTGTTTTAACTAACAGCTGGTTAAATATAAAATATGAAACTATGAGGTTATTTTTTGTTGTCATTGATTATAGGAAATAAGTAAGATTAGTAGAGATAATTAGACCACAGTTTAAACCACAGTCTTAACCAAAACTAATTAAACCACAGTACAAATCAAGGCTCTGTACACGAGTCATAATAAAAAAGGATAAATGCAAATTATTTTACTGCTCCACTTTTCAAGGAAAAATTAGAAAAATAACAATGTTTACATGTTTTAATTCTTCATGGTAGCTTTTTGTTTACAATTAATGTTTGTCTGCTTTAACTCTGTTTGGATTAGGCCCGGAAATATTGATGTCATAAAAAGAAGATCAAGAATAATCAGGAATCACGATTTTAAATTACCACCACAACCTCAGCCGGTTTTTATACAAAGATAAACAGATGGATGACATAGATTGAACACAACGTCAACATTGACCTAGGATACTGCAATTAGACAAACCATCCTTTTATGAAATAAATCGTGTTTAGTTGTGGTTTACGTTTGGGGACGCATATATCAGCGCCCCCAAACGTGAAAATATCACTTTTATTTCAACTATGAATATGTTGTAGTTTAAATTATCTAATATGGGAAATAACGATGTACATTTATTCAATGAGGGTGGGTAATTATCAAGGATAGAACTGATAACGGTATGGATAATAAACATTGACAATTACGTCATTAGCTTTACTAGCGTGTTTACTTTTTATATTCCTGCTACATGTGACCAGTTCTTTTTTTAAAATGAATGTTATTTGAACCAAACAGCTGTTTCAAAAAAACTATTATTGTTTTTCCTTTTCTTTGTTTACGCTTATTTATTTAGCAATTATGCAGTGAAATTGATATAAAGGATAGGTGTGACGATTAGTTTTGATGTTAGGACACCAAAGTTAAATTATGTGTACTGTGAATTGTATTGGATACTATCGTTTTATTTTAGGTCGTTTCTATTCAGACCTACTGGAAATTGTGTATAGTAGTTGTATTTTGGTGATAATAATTATGGAAGAGGCAGGTATGCTATGGAAGGTGGTATCGTTGGCTAGGTCTATACACTTCTTAATTGACTATTCTATTACTCTCTCTACTGTACTAGCGTCTAGACCGCCAGTGCAACTCCGAGGATCGTGATCGTGGATCAGAGGCGCTGTGGTACCACCGCACCATGTACGCTTCCGAATCATACCGGCGCATCAGCATAGCCTATCTAACTGTTCGCGGAAAATTGTTATCTGTATCACTGTCGCTATCAAAACGTATAATTTGTAGGTTAAATTTAAATTAAATATAATTAAACTGTCATAACCTAACCAAACTAACCAAACTTGCTGATAATGATAAACTCGAATGAAGGTTTACTAATCGAAAAAATAGCTGTTCTAAAAATAAAATTATAAATGTCTCAAATTCAATTTTAAAATTTTTTTAATTATAAAATTAAACTGTCATAACCTAACCAAACCAACCAAACTTGCTGATATGAAAAATTTTTTGACAAAAAGTTAGTGCTACCAGCGGAATTCGAACCCGGCACCTTCAGATTATCAGCCCAGCACGCTATCCACTTCACCCCCAAGGCTCATTAGGCCGGGGCCACACTTGTATTTTATTAAATTAAATTGGAACAACAAACACCGGTTTAGGTAGGCCTAAAATGTTCACTGAGTTTTTGTTTGCATAAGCATTCATACATCTGGTCCTAAATTGAATGTTCCATATTGCTTGAGTTATAAACTCAAAGTCTATATCAAATTCATCTTCAATATTGTCATTATCAATATCATTTTAGTTACTTAACCCATTGGCCTACGCATATTATAGGCCCTGTTGAACCCTTGGAAATCCTATTAATTTCTAGGATTTTGCAAGCTTTTGCATTAACACTTATATCTCTCTTATTTTGCATCAGAATTCTTTCAAACTTTGGAAACATGTCAAGCTAATATCAAAATATAAAAATTAGATTTTTTTTTAATTTTATTTAAAATTTAATTATAATTAATTAATTAATTAATTAGTAATTAAATCATCAATTTATTTTTTTTCAATTTTTTTTCAATTTTTTTATCATTTAGTATTTAGTTACAAATAAGAATTTGTTTTGTTATAATTTTACATAAGATAAATAAGTCCTCAAAAAATTAAATAGTAACGAGACGTTATGGACTTAAAGCAGTCTGTAACTTAGGCTTCGGTTAGGCCTACCTAGACACCACCTAGAAAAGATCACCTTAGAAGTTTACCATTTCAAAATAAAGATACTTATAATAATAGGCTAAATGCGGGCCTGGTAAAATAATAAATATAATAAAAATAATAAATGGAAAACACGTACCTTTATAATATTATCCAATATGTAGGCCTTCACTTCATAAATTTCATGTAAGTTAGGTCTCTTCACACTTCACAAACAATATACCTAACTAAATTTCTTTTGACTGGGCATGATTGCTTTTTACAACTACACTATTTACACTTGTCCCTCAACTCTTAGTAGTTCACTAAGGTGTGGTATGCCTCAAAGCAGCCGTCGATGTGAAGCGGCACCACACACTTGCTGCACTGGATCCTCACTTCTCTTCTGAGCCCTTTTGAGGAACATACAAGGCACCTTTTAGTTGGCATCGGTTTGGAAGGCGTAGCTGGTATGGTCATTGGGAAATGAAGTCGTCCCTGGAGTCGCATTGGGTTACTTGTCGATGGTCTTCCAGGTGATGTCCTCGGTCGTAGCCGGATTGATTGAGTGATTTGTTCAGCCAGATTTGTTTTGTACTCAGAGAAGTGCTGCTTACTTTTGCCAGATAGCTTTTTATAAACCACAAAAGAGTTGAACATAGAAACCTCAAAAAGGTAGAAAAAAATCTTCACATAACCCTTCACATACCTTCTCATCACTGGGTTGTAAGACAATACTTGGTCCTGGCGGTCAACTGCAAGCATGCCCTGATTGTATTCAATAATCTGCTTAGGTTTCATGATTGTAGT